AAAAATTCTCTGAGAACAAGCAATATTTTTAGAAGGCTATGTCTTTCTGTTTATTTCTAACAAAATATTTACACTTATGCTGACTTAAAAATTATAAAGTTAGGAAGTTTTTTCTTGGAAAATTTAGAAAATCTCTCAAAGGCATGACAAGGAGAAATCTTTTTAAGATATGATATTGAGTTAAAATCCTCTCTAACTACTTTCCAACTTACTGCATCATGACAGATATTTGCTATTCACTTGAAATGAATGTGGTTTTCCTTTTACATTTAATGTTACGTTGAAGATATTTTGCAGTGTTTTTCATACTTTCTGAAACTGCACACAAATAATGTTTTATAGAAGCAGATGTGTGACATCACATGAAAATCCTGTAAAACTTTTACATGAAAATCACATCTGCCAGTCTCCACTGTCATTTTCACTGTAGTTATACGGTTTGCTCTCTGTCTGTGCCAGAGGAGGCAGCTTTGCATGAAAGCTGCTCCAGGAAATTGTGTCTTCTGGGCTAGCTAGTTAGGCAAATTGTGTAGCTGCCATTGAAACCAAAATGTACCCAGCAGACATAATTTCACAAAAGAGGAGGAAAAAAACCACATTTATACAAAAGTCACAGCTGTTCACTCTACATTCTGCACTTTTTTTTTTTCATTAAAAATTTTCCCTTTCTTTAGAAGCAGTGACAGTTACATTTCTAGTTAGCAACTTAGGACATTTTAAGACATTGCTAAACTCTGCATTGTCATGGATTTAGTGTCTGACAGGGAAAAATGGGGCTAACTTCTCTCTGCTGCTACACAGAGTAGAAACTTGGTCCTTCTGCTCTGTCTCTAGGTGAAATAATAGAAGATGTAAATGAAATAGATGAGTAGGGCCCCTTGTTCTCTAACATTCAGAGCTGGGTGGCTGCCTCTTCGGAGCCAAACTAGTGTCGACATTCCTTAGTTAAGATCCACATGACATGGACTCCTCTTTCAAACCTCACGGGTCCTGCCCCCAGCGGCCATGCTGTCCAGAGCCCTCTGATGCAGTGGGCAGTGGAGCTGGGGGCTCCGAATGCTTGTGTCAGAAGCCAGTCTCACAGGCTGTGCCCAGCATGACTGCCCACTGTCTGATACCTGGCGTGACACAGTGTAGAGGAGAGCCAGAGAGGAGACTTTCTCTAGCCACTCCTCATTCTTTTCCAGTAATGAGTCTGAGGCTTGTTTGGACCATTATGGATGATGAACACTACATTTATGGGAGGCATCTTGGGCAGAGTTTTTAATTCGGGCTGTACATTCAGACTGCCTGGGTGCAAATTATGACCATTGCTATCTATATGGTGTGATACTGGGTAAGTTCTTTAACTTCTTCAGCTAGTTTCTTTAATATAAACTTAGGGCCATTTACCTCACTATCACTATAGCAAAGACTAAACATGGGGAAAAGACAGTTGAGCGCTAGCTCAGTTCATGGCACATACTAAGTATTCAGTAAATTTTAACTATTCTGATGATATGATGATGATGGTAATTTTTCTGACTTTTAAATATTTTAAACCTTTAACTTTAAAAAGGTAAAGTCAGTAATAGCGGTCAAAAGCTATTCAATCTAGGCTTTTCAGTTTCAAGTTGTATGAACATTTTCCTGCTATTGATTGCTGGAATTCCCGTCTGCTTGTCTGTGGCTGACAGGAAAACGAGTGTTTGTGGAACTGTGCTAGAGGCACCAACTGATTTCAATCTGACACGCCCTGCGGATGACAAACAGCCCACTCTGCAACTTCTGCTCCCTGTTGTTGGTCTCTTTGAAAAGACTGACTGATTGCTAAGCTGAACTTCTAATGTCCTTGCACAGGCTCTTCTGCTACTGGGTGGGGATGTGAGATGTTTTCATATTTTATATCTCTAATTGCATAAATGGGTGTATAATTAAACATCAAAAATGATAGTTCTGCAAAAAAACCACTGTGCATCATCATCAATAGAATTAGTAAATCAACATTTTCTTGATTACAGATTTATCCTAAAGGCCACCTTGCTTTATTATATTAACTAAATATTAAGACTGCAAGTTAAAATGAATGATTCTTTAAGATACTGACATTAATATTATCATTTCAATTATAAACTGTATTAAGTTAGGCATATATTTTATATTTATGATATCTACACTGAAAAATTAAAAGAGCAACTTAAGTTAGACAGTTACTGCTTTTTTCCTATATAAATTAACTATAAAGAAATTAGGTGAATTTTTTTTCCAACAAAAATGCTCTGTGGACTGAAAGTGATAAATAAGTACAATGTTCACGTATCATACTGATTTCACAAACAAAACTATTATTCAGAACCAATATATAGCTTGTGAAATAACAGTGTCATGGAGATGAGATTCACATTTTTTGAACAATTAAAACGAACCATGTAAACAGGCATATTCCAATTCAAATGGACAAATTGTCTTTGTTATGTGAAAAATATCCCTCATTTCAAGTAATGTTATATTATATCAAATAAATAGAGGTATTTTAATTATGCTGATGATTTTTTTCCAAAAGATGTTTCCAAGAAATATTGGAATGTAATTCTACTTAAAATTATCTTTAAGATAGAATGATCTATCTCAGTTTTCTGCTTGGCCTGATAACATCCACACTGGTATTGGTGTACCTTCTATACGGTGTGATCGGGAAAAGCCATGACAAATAATAGAATTGGATGCAGCTTGAAGGACATTGAACTATTTGACTCACCTGTATCATGAGCTTGACTACTTTTTGGAATCTAAAATTATTAAATGTCAATTTTATTTAATGTAGGACATGACTAATTAAATTATAAATATTTTTCTGATTATGGTGGTAATACATGAAAAATGAAGTAGAGGAATGTAAAGAGAAATATAATTTAAGCAAAAACAAAGAAAAGGATAATCATTTGAAATATAACTAAAATAAGGACAATTTTCTTTAAGAGTTATAGTCAATATCCAGTTCGATACTTCACTGCAAACCAGCATCATATCTTGAAGAACACACACCTCAATGATCAAGAAAGTAGGAAGCACTGCTTTCTGACACGTGGGTGTCTCACATCTCTGATAGATAATTAAAGCAGAGAAGAAAGGTTCGAGTTAAACATTGTTTCCCACATTGAATGTCAGCTCAAAAGGAGTTGAGAAAGATGTGGAAGAACAATCTGAAGCGGTAACATAAGGGAGGAGGTCAGTAAAGCATGTTCTGCAGGTCAAATTCAACCAGTTGGCTGTTTTTGCAAATAAAGTTTTATTGAAACATAGCTATGCCCATTCATTTTAGTGACATTTATGGTTGCTTTCAAGCTACAATGGCTGAATTGAGTAATTGTGACAGAAGCCATATGCCCTCTGTCCCTACTCCAAATATTTATCTGGCTTTTTATGCAGTTTTCCAGTATCTGGATTAAGGAAAAGATTCTTAATCTATGAATTTAGCAAGGAAGGGTGTTAAATATGAGATCTGGCATGGCAGATATCTCAGTTTTCTTTCATTATATTGAACTGCCTTGTATTTCAGAGGTAATAAGCTTTGGCACAGGACAGTCTGATTCTACGCTGTGAAATAAGACAAACTAGCATTTATTGGAAACATTTAATGCTGCTAACTTTATCCAGGAACTGCAGGTACATTATTATTAAAATATTTGTATCTTTTAATTAGTTAGCAGTGTAGTGGGACTTGGGGGCCTTATAATTCTTTAGTAGTGATTTCCCTTTATTTTTTGCAATTAGAGATACCTCCATGTATTTATCTCACTTTTTGCATTTATTGAGCATCCACATGACATTAGAACATTAGCTACTATGTTAGAAGATTGCATGTGACAAATTAGGTCAATTCACTTTGCCTGGAAATGGCTGACTATGGTACCAAAATTGGGGCTTCTCCAAATGAAAATGGTGGGTCAAAGTATTCAAGACTAGTGGTGATGAGGAAGGTGCTCAAGGGCGGGGAGCACGCAGGTCTTATTCATCCATACATCCCCAGCACAAAGGAAGGCTTGATGCTTAATAAAAGCCCAGGAACTGTGTGAATATGGTTCAAAAACAATTTAGCAATAAGCCCATCAATCTGTAACCCTTGACCATCTGGATTATTACTGTAAAACAGAATATGATTGGAGAAAACAGAGTTTGATCTTGATAAATAGTATGAATGTTTTTTGTTTACCAATCTCTGCACTTCATAGGAAATATATTAACATTTCTCATAAGGAAAATGTGGATTTTGTTATTTACCAAACAACAAACAACAGTACACAATAGATAATAGAATCATTTTCTATTAGAAAAGTAGATTCTGGAAAAATATGTCACATATTTTGACTTATAACTTGACACATAACTTTTGAAAATTATGAATATTACTTGATTTTCCTATGAAAAATATGTATGTAATTTAATCCTTTTAGGAGCTTTATTTTGAATAAAGGGGTCCATAAAGGGGATAACTTATATTATGCCCTAGCATAATAATTAAAGCAATGCAACCTCTAATAATATAGAAATCCAATCTACAGGAAGAATACTGTTGATTTGAAATGGGATCTTAAAAGTAAAAAAAATGTCTAAAATTTATTTCATCCTTTGACTGGAAAGCATGGCTGCTTCATCTAATTGACTTTGAAATCTGGTTTATTAGAACATCTCTTTTTACACTCCCCAGTCAGCTTCCAAAATTTTGATGTCAAAATGAAGGGCATTTACTTTGATATCTTTATCGCTCATTTAGAGGACAATGTGAAATACACTTTTCCAATTGCTGTTTTAGAATCTTGAATCAAAGGAAAAGAATGACAAATTAGCCAGCTGGAAGAGGCAAGAGACAGCCAGCTAGTGTTGCTAGAGTCTCCATGGATACTTCCAAGTAAGATAAAGGGAAATAAAAGGAGTGTCAGCCACACATACTCAATAAATGAAATACTAACATAATTTGACAACATATTAATAACAAGTTAATATCACACTTAGAGACTTACTCAACATAATAAGTGCCGTATATGGGATCATCGATTTTTTCCCAGCCATATGGAAGCTCTGAAAAATAAAAAGTTGTTTCTTTCAGTAAATAAGTAACAGATATCACAATTTCTAATAAAAAGTAATATAATTTAATTGTTTGTGGATCACAGATATAGTTTATCAAAGTGGAATAAAGCATTCAGTGTCAGCAGCAAATTTCAAACACATATTGTAGGAACTATTAGAAGCACCAACTTGAAAATTGGCAGTTAAAACCCAAAGCTCTCTTCTCTGCAGACATACTGCTGGGTCTCGCTGTTTATCCCACGCCAAACAGTAGGATGGCACGTCATCATGTTATCACCACTCAAGGCAATACAGAAGGCAAACTACTTTCCTGAAAGTGCATACAGCTTTCTTATTTATGTGCATTGTTAAAATGATTGTTTCAGGATAAAGATCATATTTTCAAAATATATTTCTGAGGATAGCAATTTCTTTTTCTGATGAATGTAACAAAAGACATTATAAATTCTCAATTGACATTCCACTATTCAAGATGGTTAGCTTGCTGTTCTCTCCACATGGGTCAGATTTTGAATGCTGCCAATATTCTCTTGGGCATATTTTTTTATAAGGTCTAAAAATCTAAACACATTTTCCTTGACAACATGGTTCATATTTCCAATTCCCCATGGGTAATTTTAATACATACACATTTAAAATGTCAACAATGCTATAAATGCTACTACATGCAAAAATAGGCTGTTTGAACACCAGGCTTTGCTTCATGACACACTGCCTTTATAATTATTAATTTCTAAATATAAAGAACATTATATTTTTCTTGATGGATATTAATTTTATGTATATAGATTTGAACTCTAAGATACTGGCATACTCTAAATAATATATTTAAATCAAATTTAAAGTTTTATTATTATAGTAGTAATACATGTTTACTTAGACGAAGTACAGTTATAAAAAATTACAATCACTTGCAATTCCTCCATCCAGAGGTAACCACTGTTAATATTTTTGTGAATATTCTTTCTATATATGTGTGTATTCATATATACCGTATTTTGCTGTGTATAATGCACACCTACGTTTCTGTGTGCACTATACATACCCATTATTATACCCATGTATAATGCGTATCCTTATTTTTCCCTCAAAAATTTGGGCAAAAAGTGTGCATTATACATGGCAAAATACAGTATATACACATACATATATACATATATATACACAAATAATATTTTAGAGAAAGTATTGTTATAGCCTACTTTTCGAGGGCTATAACAAGAAAATATCGAGGGCATCCTTCAACATGAGTAAATGTTACTGAACAACATCACCTACAGTGGCACAGCAAGAGTCTGTGGGATGGCCAGGTCTTTGGAATCCCAGCAGTCTTCTATTATTAACCATTGGGACTTTCCAGTTTTTACCTGTTGTATATTATCTGTGTTGGATTTACTAAACCTAAACTTCCATCATTTTCCTAGTAACGTAGTAATGATAAATTTCTATAAGTGGGATTTTGGATTAAAGGGCATGAACCCTTTTATGGCTTTTAATATACAGCCAGATTACTACCTGCACACTCACAGAAGAGGACCAATTTGTAAGCTCACTAGTGACTTTGTTTCTCTGTACCATCAAATTAAACTCAGGTCCACAATTCCCTATCCAAAACTTTTAAGAGATAGATAGGTTTTGGAATTCAGTACTTTTCCAATTTAAGAAAGTTACTGTGATGCAAATGCTTTCTAATCTGTAACGCTCCATGCAGAGTCTGGGAAGCACTTTATAGTCAAACACATGAGTATGTATGCAGCCAAAATTATGTGGCTTACATTGAGAGGCACAAATAAGAACTACTTCCTATCAGTCAGCAGGCGTTTGCTACCAGTGTGTCCACGTCGGGTTATATTTTGCTGGCACATGAGTTACAAAAGGCAGTTTTTAGAGCTTTTAATATTGGATATGCAGATAAAGTATTATGTATCATTATTTGAAAATGAATCAAATTGATTTTAAAATGGCAGCTCATGGCTGTTTTAATTTACCTTTCTTGGATTTCCAGTTAGTTTGAACACTTTCATTTGTCCATCCTTGGATAATTATTTTTACTTTTGTGTATTTTTATTAATTCATAAGACCTTTACTAATTAAGGACATTAATTTTTTTATCATGTATATTGCATATACATTAAGAGTCTGTTTAGACTGTAATTTTTTTGAACTTTTTTTAACACATAGAAGTTTTAAATTTTATTTGGTTAAGTTTATCATTGTTTTCCTTTATGGCTTCTATCTTTGGAGCTTAGCTTAACTACTAAAGAAAATTTTCTAGTTTTTTTTCTTTTAAATATAAAGTCTAGTCTATTACTTTGTTTCCTTATTCTTAGAGTTGTTCTAGCATAATAAAATTATAACACCAAATTGTTAAGCACCTTAAGAAATTTTTCTGTCAAAATGATGACAGCACACTTTTACTAGGTATTTACTATGGTCCATACATTAGTGAATTTCCATGTACTAACTCGTTTTACCCTAACAACAACTCAGGATTTAAAATCCCTGTACTCTGGTTCCAGCAATCTTAATCAATTTAGATAACAATTTAGACATTGTTTAACACAACAGAGATGACACCTAAGATTAAGTAGAGTAACTATCCACATGGTTTTCACCAAATCCTTTAAACTACTGGAGAATATGGCTATTAAAATGAAGAGTCCATTTGACAAATATTGAGTGCCTTTTACATACAGCAAAGTGCCTTTTACTAAAGTAAAAGAATATACAGAGCACAGCAATCAATATTATGGATATGTATTGTTAATATGGCTGAATATACAGATTCATATTTAAATAGGTTTAATATAATTTCATGAATACAACACCAAATAATCATATTCAATAACATATGGAAGAGCCTAATATTGTTAATTTTATGGATACTAGTTTTACTTCTTAATGGCATTGTTATATGGAAGCATTTCATGGTTCAATTTTTAAAATTATCTTTTATAATGTAAAGCATTCCTTCACATATTCTTTACCTTTAGTTTTTTTTGAGTAAATTACTAATTCTAGCAATGTATCTGGTAAGTATAGATTTCATTGATTCTTCATCTTTGCAGATTTATAGCACCAAAGGTTCAGTGAACATTTATTTATAATCCTTTCTCCTTGTCATCATGAAATATTCATCAGAATTTAGGGGATATCTTTTATTTCATAAGATATCAATACCTTGTGCTTGTTTGCCTATTTCATATTTCCAAAATAAGCTATTAATTTGTGCCAAAAATTATATAAGGACTTGAATTTTAAAATAAGCTATTAGTGATCCTTAACTCACACTTTGAGACAAAATAATACACTATAGTTCTAACTCTTTGTTATAAAGAGCTGCCATTTATTTCATTTTAAATATTTATAAGGGATTGATAGATAGTTACAAGAAACCAGTAACACATACATATATTACTTCATTTACAAATGTAGCAGAATGAGTATAAAAATCTACAACCAATATTTTAAAAAGTGTATGTGTATTCATTACACATGTATGTGCATTTATATGCATGCATATTCATGTGTGTATGTATACATGTGTGTTTACCTGCATGCACATGTGTATGTGCAAGGGGGTGTGTGTATTCCCCTTGATGACATTTTTCTTGAGCAACAAAGAAAGGTCTACGCTAGAATGGTAATAAAAAACCACAAGTTTTTCTTCACTCATAACAAGGCAAGTCAAAGATAAACTCTTTAAGGTTATAAGCTTATATGTACATTTAAGATTTAAGGTTATACATACATTTAGATGATGAAAAATTAAGAATCGTCTTTTACTGAGAAAAGTGAACTTTCGGTCTTGAATTAATTATTTAAAATATTTTATTTCTTTATTTTTAGAGCGAGAGGAAAGGAGGGAGAAAGAGTAGGAGAGAAATATCAATGTGTGGTTGCCTCTCACGCTCCTGCACTGGGTACCTGGCCCACAACCCAGGCATGTGCCTTGTTTGGGAATCAAACCGGCAACCCTTTGGTTCAGAGAGGTCAGCACACAATCCACTGAGCCACACCAGCCAGGGCTTGAATTAATTTTTAAAAGACAATTGCTTCTTTTAAAAATAAAGTTAACAAATAAAAAATTTTTCCAGTTTTATACTATTTGCTTAATCAGACAAGCATGTAGCTTGGAGCTTGTGGGACCTAGGTTACTTAGAATTTTTAATTTAACAATACCCGACAAATTTAAAGATGATTAAGGTCACACTGATGAAAGAATAACATGTATTATGCAAATGGAAAAATAAACATGAGATGAGCAAGGTTAATGCTGCATTAAGAACAGTTTTTTAAAGGTTTTATTTATTTTTTCGAGAGAGGGGAAGTGATGGATAAAGAGAGAGAGAAACACCAATGTGTGAGAGATACATCATTCAGGAAAACATTGTTTTGTGCAATTCATGTCTCTAAGAACAGGAATGACTGTTTCCTCGGGTTTACTTTATTATTTATATAAGTGACAAAAAATGACTCCTCCTGCACACCCCCAGTCAGGTATTCGGGCATGTGCCCCAACTGGGAATCAAACCGGCGACCTTTCAGTTCGCAGGCCAGTGCTCAGTTCACTGAGCCACACCAGCCAGGGCTAAGAACTGCTTTTGAGGTTTTTATTTTTCCCAGGCCATGGAATCATGGAGCAAATTCAGTGAGTAGTATTCCTGCAGTGATCCCTTCTCCAGAAGTCTGTGTAAGTGTCTAGGTTAATTTGTATCAGTCATGTAAGCTTTGTAAAACTGCAAAAGAACCAAAAGATTAAGTAGGTATCCTGTACTGCCTGGATTGTGCTACAGTTACTAAGCTATATTTTGTACTTGTTCTTTCCAAATTTTATCTGTCTGTTAGGTTCACTGTCATTGCAGGAAAGAGAGACTCCTTTATGCTAACTCACAAAAAACAGCTTTCAGTCTGCAACTGGGAACCTTATGGAATACAAAGACTGTATATCTTATGGAAATGGGACCCAAATACAGGAAAGCTGTAAA